AAAAATGGTTTTGGCATTACCTAGTCTGACATTTATTTTTGTTTTCAGTTGCTGTGTTCACTTGTTTTTCCTCACAGCATCACCTGTGTGATGCAACACTGATCACCTATTGTGTTCACCTGACAGGTGAGGCCCAGTACGTAGGCACAACACCCACACAGCCTGGGGAACTCTACGGCCTCTTCGTTACTTCTACACAAGCCAACGCTCGTATCGTCAGCATCGACTCTTCTGCCGCCTTGGTGAGTAGTTGGGAAGGCTGAAGAGATGCCGGTATACCTGGAGAGGCTTTCGGGGGTCAACGCCCCCGCGACTCGGTCTGAGACCAGGCCTCGTGATGGATCAGGGTCTGGTCAACTAGGCTGTTACTGCTGGTCGCACGCAAACTGACGTACGACCTACAGCCCGGCTGGTCAGGTACTGACTTTAAGGGCCTGTCCAGTGCCTTCTTGAAGACAGCCAGGGGTAGGAATGGTTTTATTTTCAAAGGGTTTCGCTCACAGGTGAGCCTTTTTCAAGCGAAACGTTGTTGATGTGTTGGTTTACTGTACCATGGTGACTGGTGCTGTTACTGTTGGAGTTGTCTGTTGAGTGGTAATACTGTTGCTCTCTGTTGAGTGGTAATACTGTTGCTCTCTGTTGAGTGGTAGTACTGTTGATCTCTGTTGAGTGGTAATACTGTTGATCTCTGTTGAGCGGTAATACTGTTGATCTCTGTTGAGTGGTAATACTGTTGATCTCTGTTGAGTGGTAATGCTGTTGCTCTCTGTTGAGCGGTAATACTGTTGATCTCTGTTGAGTGGTAATACTGTTGATCTCTGTTGAGTGGTAATACTGTTGCTCTCTGTTGAATGGTAATACTGTTGCTCTCTGTTGAGTGGTAATATCGTTGCTCTCTGTTGAGTGGTAATACTGTTGCTCTCTGTTGAGTGGTAATACTGTTGATCTCTGTTGAGTGGTAATACCGTTGCTCTCTGTTGAGTGGTAATACTGTTGCTCTCTGTTGAGTGGTAATACTGTTGCTCTCTGTTGAGTGGTAATGCTGTTGATCTCTGTTGAGTGGTAATACTGTTGATCTCTGTTGAGGGGTAATACCGTTGCTCTCTGTTGAGTGGTAATACTGTTGCTCTCTGTTGAGGGGTAATACCGTTGCTCTCTGTTGAGTGGTAATACTGTTGCTCTCTGTTGAGTGGTAATACCGTTGCTCTCTGTTGAGGGGTAATACTGTTGCTCTCTGTTGAGTGATAATATTGTTGCTCTGTTGAGTGGTAATACTGTTGCTCTGTTGAGTGGTGATACTGTTGCTCTCTGTTGAGTGGTAATACTGTTGCTCTCTGTTTACCTTGAGGGATCAACAGTATCGGGCCTATATTTCTGGGGCCCTGAAGCTTGAACTGCTACGAGGGCCCTTCACAATCCCTTCTTATACAGTAGACCCAAAATTTTTAAGCAATATGGACTGAAGTGGCTTCTGAGGCCCCTTCGGGATTAGGGGCCCCTGAAACTTAGGCTTCATTAGTTTCACAGTAGATCCGCCCCAAGGGATCACTGCTGAGTTATTGCCTACTGCGTCTTTAAACGTACGTTTAAAGACGCCTAAACTTTCTGTAGCCTTGATAAAATACGGACGTCTGCCCGTTTAAAATTTTCTTTGCGTGTTTCACTTGACGTTATTAGATAAATATGAGAGATTTTAATCCGCTAGTATTAATGTCATTAACAACGATCAGCTAAACTGTTTTTATACTTTCATCTATGTAGCCTATTTTTATTATTTTTTATTTTGTTTTACCTCTAGGCTTGTCTTTGTCTATCAACCTGTTATTGTATATCTATATTCTTTTAGTTGTTATTTCATTTTTTTTTAATAAAATGAAGCGGAGTAAGCGTATGTAGTCTTTCATTCATACTTAAGAACATACGAACATAAGAACGATGGAACACTGCAGAAGGCCTACTGGCCCATGCGAGGCAGGTCCAAGTCTCCTACCGGCTTAAGCCAATGCACCCAACCTAGTCAGGTCAGGTCACATTGACTTAAGGGAGGAACACGGCAACCGACCTGGTAGCACAAGCTATCAGGTCTAACTCACACCCACCCACATCTACTCATGTATTTATCCAACCTATTTTTAAAGCATTGACTCGTAATACATAAGACCCTCTCCACTTGTTGATTAGTTCGTCTATTACACAAAATTGTAATAACTCCCAATATAAATAAGTCAAGAACCCCCGAGGGGGGATAAGTCCCTTTGTCTGATTTTTTGGGGATTATCGTAGGTAATTTACTCATATGTTACTATGTACGGTAATTGTATTTATGTGTACATGTGCCTAAATAAACTTACTTCAGACCACTAACACAGAGGTAAGGAAAACTCTCACACTGTACTTCCATCCTTAGCTTCCATTGCCAGGTGTACAAGGTTGTTACACCCCGCCAGTTCGTTAAGTCGAGGCAGTTAGGATGTGCAATAGACTCTAACATCTCGAAGTTTGATATTGCAGGAGGTTCCTGGAGTGCTGGCTTTCGTAGGTGCTGCAGACATCCCTGGGGAGAACAACATTAAAGTCTTCTCCGACTCCAAGCCTGAACTGGTGAGTCCTGAGAGCAAGACCTCCAGGTCTTATTTTATGTATTGATTAGGGAAGACGGTTTTAGCTCCTCTGGAGAACATTAAGACTGAAGACTTAAGGAACACTACAACAGGCCTTCTACAACAGGCCTTCTAGCCCATACTTGGCACTACTTGACAGGTTCTTTTCCAGTATAAAACTTCTGTAAGTGCATGTGAAAACGAATTAAGGAATAACCTTTTGGTTTCAACACACTGTAAGTTTTCGAACTTACTCACTTTTTCCCATTATCATGGGCCAACATGACAAGCTTATTCTAAAAGTACATAACCCACCTCATACCAGCCCTGAAACTGATTGTCTACCATGACAGTTGTTCCCTGAGGAGCGGACGATGTTCTACGGTCAGCCTCTGGGAGTTATCGTAGCCACCGGCCGCAGCGCAGCCTCCGCTGGACAGCGAGCAGTCAAGGTGACTTACGACGACATCCAGTCACCTGTCCTTACCATCGAGGAGGCACTGAAGGAGCCGCTGCCTCCTGACCAAGGCTTTCCCTTCGTGGAAGGGGATGTGCAAGGTGAGGGGCTAGGTATGCCAGGTGATTACGTATGCTAGATGAGGGGTTTACGTGTTCTAGGTGAGGGATGACGTGTTTTTATTATTTATAATTTATTCGTCAGGGACTGCCATTTTTTTCTGGTTGAAATATGTCGTGGGCTTAAGTAGGAAAAATATTCGTACAGAATTGATTAGTGCAACGTTTCGCCTACACGAGGCTTCATCAAGTACTTGATAAAGCCTCGTGCAAGTGAAACGTCGTGATAATAAAGGTCCCCTTTATATGTATGTGTCTTTTTAAAATTAATTTTTCACTGGGAAGCATGAATTGTCTGTCTAATATATAGTTCACTGCCACCAGCTGGCTTTGCCGCGTCTGCCTACATCATCCAGGGAGCTGTCAGCCACGACAGCCAGTACCACTTCCACATGGAGACGCAGGTACGTACCTGTATGTACACCATAATTTACCACAAATTATTAACCCTCCACCAAATTACTATAAAAAGCCAAGGTTACGCACTAATCCAGTAAGGACCTTGTTTTTGGAAGAGGATATAATGTCTAAGAACGAAAAAAATGTTACGCGATTAAAACAAATGCCTTTTTCTTATTGTTTATTTCCTCTTGTTTACTCAACTAAATAAACATTCACTGCATGTGAGAAAAAACATCAAATCTTCCGTTTATTGGCGTAAATAATTAACATCTTGGTGGCAAATCAGTGACCACCGTCAGGATTCACCTGGTGGACGGGCGGAAAATTTAGGTAAGACCCTTGTGGGGTGAGAGGGAAAGAATAGGTTGATGAGACGAAGGTATTGAGTGTTAAGAGTATCAGGGCTTAACCCAGTAGCTTGCCGATCGTGGTACTAATGACTGGTGCAGCGGCGAGGAGTGGCGAGGCAGACAACCGGTTGGATAGACGCTAAAACACATACACAAGGTACACGTAAAGAACCACTAATAACTTATTGGGATACTGGGTGGGAGGAGGGAGAAAAGAACGTCATTTAAGGTCCACAGCATTTACCTTGTTATTGATATCTGCCTGTAGGTATGTCTGGCTACCCCCACTGACATAGGTATGGACATCCTCTCCTCCACTCAGTGGGTGTCGGAAACTCAGAGAGCCGTGGGGCAAGTCCTCAATATTCCCGACAACACGTGAGTTCTAAGATTATTATATTTATTTTTAAGTAATAAGAGTAGCCTCATGGGAACGAAAGAGGAATTTAAAAAGTTGGAAGGCATAAGAGGCTTACCTGCGAGGTCCATAAAAAGCAAAAAGGCACAATACCTTGACTGGAACAAGGTAAGGGTCTTATTCTTTTCAATTTTTTAATGTTTTTTATTTCTTTTACAACCCCCTTTCGTTCTTACGAGGCTGCGAAAGGAGTCGTAAAAACCAGCTTCACTTTATTTTAAGTGCTAGAGCCGTGTGGGTCAGTTCATGTAGTGTGGAGGCTCCATCCTCTGTCAGCCCAAAACACACGCACGTACTACTTGTTTGTACTCAGCTCTTCGTATTTTCTAGTTGACTAGTATTATTGGAACATACAAAAGCCACAAGTATTGCAGTGCAAGATGACAGATATTGGCCACAAGTATTGCAGTGCAGGATGACAGATATTGGTCACAAGTATTGCAGTGCAGGATGACAGATATTGGTCACAAGTATTGCAGTGCAGGATGACAGATATTGGTCACAAGTATTGCAATGCAGGATGACAGATATTAGCCACAAGTATTGCAATGCAGGATGACAGATATTGGCCACAAGTATTGCAATGCAGGATGACAGGTATTGGCCACAAGTATTGCAATGCAGGATGACAGATATTAGCCACAAGTATTGCAATGCAGGATGACAGATATTGGCCACAAGTATTGCAATGCAGGATGACAGATATTAGCCACAAGTATTGCAATGCAGGATGACAGATATTGGCCACAAGTATTGCAATGCAGGATGACAGGTATTGGCCACAAGTATTGCAGTGCAGGATGACAGATATTAGCCACAAGTATTGCAATGCAGGATGACAGATATTGGCCACAAGTATTGCAGTGCAGGATGACATATATTAGCCACAAGTATTGCAATGCAGGACGACAGATATTGGCCACAAGTATTGCAGTGCAGGATGACAGATATTGGTCACAAGTATTGCAGTGCAGGATGACAGATATTGGCCACAAGTATTGCAGTGCAGGATGACAGATATTAGCCACAAGTATTGCAATGCAGGATAACAGATATTGGCCACAAGTATTGCAGTGCAGGATGACAGATATTAGCCACAAGTATTGCAATGCAGGATAACAGATATTGGCCACAAGTATTGCAGTGCAGGATGACAGATATTGGCCACAAGTATTGCAGTGCAAGATGACAGATATTGGCCACAAGTATTGCAATGCAGGATGACAGGTATTGGCCACAAGTATTGCAGTGCAGGATGACAGATATTAGCCACAAGTATTGCAATGCAGGATAACAGATATTGGCCACAAGTATTGCAGTGCAGGATGACAGATATTGGCCACAAGTATTGCAGTGCAAGATGACAGATATTGGCCACAAGTATTGCAATGCAGGATGACAGGTATTGGCCACAAGTATTGCAGTGCAGGATGACAGATATTAGCCACAAGTATTGCAATGCAGGATAACAGATATTGGCCACAAGTATTGCAATGCAGGATGACAGGTATTGGCCACAAGTATTGCAGTGCAGGATGACAGATATTGGCCACAAGTATTGCAGTGCAAGATGACAGATATTGGCCACAAGTATTGCAGTGCAAGATGACAGATATTGGCCACAAGTATTGCAGTGCAAGATGGCAGATATTGGCCACAAGTATTGCAGTGCAAGATGACAGAGTGCAAGATGACAGAGTGCAAGATGACAGAGTGCAGTGCAAGATGACAGAGTGCAGTGCAAGATGACAGAGTAATCATCACAAGCCACGTTTTGCTCTGCGCGAAGCTTTTTATCAGTTCAATAACGCATTACCCAGAGTGAAACGAATATAACTTGATCTTTCCCGAAGTGTCTTTCTACTCTTGTCTGCTCGTTGTAAGTCAGTGTAACTTATTTTCCATTGGAATCCTTTCTATTCTTATCACCGTCTTTAAGTCTTGTTTTTTTTTTTGTCATGGTTCACTAGATTTCCTCTGCGTGTGCAATCTGTTGCTAAGTACACAGAAAATCGCCTGTCAACTAAATTTTGAAGACATCAACAAACTTCTGAATAATTCCAGAACATCGATTTTGTGGTCAGAAAAGTGGCAGATGCAGCCGAATGTTCACACCAGTAATGTTGAAGAATTAGTACATATATGCAACAGCTGGGTATCTTTATTATGCAGTGGCTTTATCAATACAGTACAAGGACGAAAACAGAAGATTGAAAAGACTGAAGATAAGGTAATCAGTCCCTCAGTCTAAGAGCAAGTGTTCAGTACCGTAGTCTGGATGAATCTCAAGTATGAATCTTCAATTTGTCGGAATTATATACCACTGTTGTTACGATACAAAAGTAATGTCTTGGTCCGTTGGAAAGTAATCGTGGAACTTATAAATTAAATATTATGCAACAGATGCGCCAAAACTTTGTTTTGATTATTAGAACTCAAGGAATTTTATTTTTTAATTTTGATTAACACTGTTTTTCTTGCAGGGTTAATGTGTCAGTGAAGCGTATCGGGGGAGGCTTTGGAGGTAAGATTGATCGCTGCAACATTGTTGCAGCAGCCGCCGCTCTCGCTGCATTCAAGGTCAACCAACCTGTGAGGATATCCCTTGACCTCGGCACCAACATGACCGCGATTGGCTGGCGGGAGCCTTTCCTCTGCACTTACAAGGTCAGCAGAGGTCAATTTGTATCTAGGTCAGCCATAAAACACGTTATAATGGTGATCGATTAAGTTTGAAGCAGGGGTTCGAACCCAGAGCAACACTCTATAAGACCGTCACTTTACCAACCATCTTAACAGGAGCTTCATTAACAGGGACTCAGACCTCTTTTATACTAGACTGGGACCAACTGCGACCAACTGCGACCCCAGACTCCACGTCACACCTGACCTTCTCCTCCGGCAGAGTTACGAGGCTTATAAATTCTTGCCTCCGGTTCGGTGCCTTCTATCCACAACGAAGTCAAAGCCGAAGAACTCACCGATAGAAACACGATCTCCTTTTAACACTGCTTGTCAACAGTCAAACTGGAATATATTTCTCTTGACACAAACATGGAAGTTACAATAATTGCGTTTGTATTTTCTTTGTTTACGGTGTTGATACAATCAGTTACAGCTGGATACAAATATAATAGTACATCAACACAAACGTATTATATAAATCACTTTGTATAAACTCATTCTGACACAACTTTCTTAATTCCTTTCCTAACATAAAAATCTATTCATTGTATGACAGTACAACGTAATTCATTATAATGACGGAGATCCGAATATTACGTAGCCAGAGTAAGCTAGTCATCATAATTATTATTATTATTATTATTATTATTATTATTAATCATTATCATCATGGGAGCGCTAAACCCGTAGGATTATACAGCGCCTGTGAGGGGGGATGATGGAAGGCATTCAGGGAATTGGAACATAGATCCAATTCCCTAGATCAAGAGCCCTTCACCAACTCTTGATAATGTATTTACATGGGGGTAAGAACAGTCAGGCTTCCCGGTGACGCATTAGAAAAATTAGAGAATTTCTCATTAAATTTATATCAGATCAATAATGTGCGTTTTATTGAGTGGGAGAATTATAGCGATGGTAATAATGTATCAGTATTTACAATCAGTTACTGCATGTGACACTTACGTCTGATTTAATACGTTCTGAAAGACGATGTTATTGTAGCAGTTCACTGAGAGGGAACTTTGGCCATTTTCTGACTTCCGTATTCATGGGCTTTTCATTTTGAACCCCTCAAGGGAGGTTCCTTGACGTTGGTGAGGGGCTCTTGATCTAGGGAATTGGATCTGTGCTCCAGTTCCCTGAATTGAGCCTGAATACCTTCCATCCCTCCCCCCCCACATGCGTTGTATAATCCTAAGGGTTTAGCGCTCCCACATGATTATAATAATAATAATTTTCATTTTGAATGGGATTTTAAGTAGGCTGAGGTGTACACATGTTTTTTTTTGTCAGTCCATTGGCAAGTGTCCGCTAAATTTTGATGTTTTGTGTGAGAGCAGTGCAGGTTGTGAATATTAAATATGTGAGTAATTTCGTATGAGGTTATGAAAGGTATTCCGAGGACATCAAGAGGATAGAACGGAATAGGAGGACCAAGATGGTGAATAAACTCAGAATGTAAGGAAGGGGGAGTAGGGGTTATCCCAGGAAGGGTTGGAGTGAGGAGTTGAAGGAGGTTTTGAGTGGTAAGGGCATGAACATCCTGCAGGCGTGTGTGAGTGCGGTAGATCGGGGTTAGTGGAGACAAGAGGTTTCAGGGATTTAATGTGCTGTTAGAGTGTGAGCAGAGTAATATTTATGGCGTAAGGGAAAGCAGTTAGCGGGACTTGAGTACTGGAGGTGGAAAGTACTCTGGAGGAGAGGTGGGCATATTGTTCGGAGTCATTTGAACTGTGATGTCTGCGCATGTCTGGCAAGACAACAGTTGAAAGAATGATTGCTGTTTCTTCTCTGGGGTGACCCTACCTTGGTGTAACAGGGGCCTAAGTAGAGAAAGATAACAGAAGGTAGAGTGACGCAGTGAAACAGTCCTCTCCTTATGCAATAAAATAACGTGTAAACACGTTTTTCATTATTTTTAATATTTCACATATTTAAAAAAATAACATAAAAAGCCTATGAAAAACTGTATTCAGAATACTGTTCTCATATGGCGTGGGTTTGTATCGTCGACAGGTGGGTGTGGACGAGGCTGGAGTACTCCAGGCCGTGGAGGCCACACTGACTAGCGACGCAGGTTCCTGGAGCACTCCGAACTCATCCCAGGGAGCAATATTCTGCCTGCCATCCTGCTACAACTGTCCTAACTGGCTCGTCACTCCTCAGTACGTCCTCACCAATACTGCCCCTAACACAGCCTGTCGCAGTCCAGGTCAGTGTCCCACATCATGTCACCTCTCAACCTGCACTCTTTAACTGGTTCTTATTACATTCATGAGGGAAGCATTAAACCCATAAGGGTCATACAGCAACAATATCCATATAAATTACAGAACTGGTAATATATATTCATAAAGTATCATAATTTGGTCTCTAAATTGCATTTTATGGGGAATTTCAGTGTACATGACTTAAGAAATCGTAATGACACGATTGCAAATAAACCATACCCCCGGCCGGGATTGAACCCGCGGTCATAGAGTCTCAAAACTCCAGCCCGCGGGTTCAATCCCGGCCGGGGGTATGGTTTAATTTCAGTGTAATTTGAGATTTTTGAAAATGGCTTTAATGTTAGGTATGAGGCTGATTCCAATATATGTAGAAAGAGTCATATATTTAAACGTAAAATTATAAGAGTCAGCTATGAATGAACCAACACCTGGCGAGTGGAAACCTGATTCTATTACACACACATATGCATATGTAAAATAACCTCAGGGGGAGTTGAATGATATCTCTAGGTCTTTTGTGTTGCAATCAACACATCAGAAGTTCGTAATGTTAAAGAAATAGAGTTGGAAATCCAGGCAAATTCGTTCAGGGAAACGACTCTCTCCAGATGCATATATTAACCCATAAACGGTCCAAACGTATATATACGTTTTTTCAACATTTGAAAGTATGTAAAAAAAGTAGATCTTCTTTTTGTTTTTTTTACATTTGAAAATGTGTAAAAAAAAACTTTGATCTGCCTTTTTTTGTTATATTTGAAAATATGTAAAAAAAAAAGTAGATCTACTTTTGTAGCAGTACACACACACACACACACACACACACACACACACACACACACACACACACACACACACACACACACACACACACAGATCTGAAGTATCTGGGTCTTTCTCTCCATCTACAGGCACGGTAGAAGGAATTACTTTTATGGAAAACATCATGGACCACGTTGCAGATGTTCTTGGAGTCGACCCGCTGGAACTGCGCCAGAAGAACTTACTTCCTGACGGCGGCATCAGGAAGCTCAACCAGCATATGATCAGAATACGAAACCGTATAGCAGCCCATGGTAAATATTTCCTCTTGACTGCCATACAGAACACGCCCTCAGGGGCGTGTTCTGCGTGTTGGGGCTCAGTGCCTCTTCGCAAGGATATGAGAGGAACTTTGGTATGTACTCACCTCTGTGTACTCACCTATATGTACTCACCTATATGTATTCACCTATATGTGGTTGTAGGGGTTGATTCACAACTCTTGGCCCCGACTTTTAACTTCTCCACAACGATCCATTGATACAAAACAAAAGCTGACACATTCAGGATTCAATCCTCTTCGGATCAAACCTGATTACCTTCGATTCCCCAGGCGACGTATGAACCCCTAACAGACTTAGTGTTTGCCTTTTAACTATAATAATCATAACCATTTATTTTCACCACTAACCCATCCACAGAGATGGTGAATATCCCCGAGGACATCATAGTACCTAGGAACCTCATCTCTGACATGATCGATGAGATGAAGGTCTCGGCTGATGTGGACAATCGAAGGGCGCTGATCACCCAGTTCAACCAGGTGAGTGTCAGAGGTCAGTCTTTTAAACAGGTTGACTAGGCAAGCACCATATGAGCCTGGTCCATGGCCGGGCTCCGGGAGTAGCCCGGCCATGGACCAGGATGAGTTCTGAGAGTAGAAAGACTCCCAGAACTCATCAAAGGTATAGGTAAATTCCTTGGCTAGTTTAGTATTGAGGGGTAGACGTTCACACGCAGCAGACTCTGCCCTCCTGTAGGAGGGAGGACACAGCGTGATGCATGTAACACTCGTCATGCTCTTCCTTCTTCAGGAGAATCGTTGGAAGAAGCGTGGTTTGTCCGTGATGCCCATGTTGTGGCCGTACTGGTTGGGCCCAGTTACGCCCTTCAGTGCCATGGTGTCTATAAATCCACGCGACGGCAGTGTCTCTATCTCCCACGGAGGTACTGAGATGGGTCAAGGCATCAACACTAAGGTCAGTGTACTTCTATGTCTCTACACCTCTCATACCGTTCAACCTAGTTGAACGGCTGTGCTCTTACCCGTGGTCACAGGTATCTGGGGTTCACTTCTCTAGTGAATATTCTCAAAATACGATTTACACATCTCAGGGTTACACATTTATCAGTGTATTGGTCAGTCTATCTGCTTTTATATATAATCTTCACGGTTTATAAATTCTTTGGCAAATCATAAAAAAATATCCACTGTTTGCACCCCATCAATTTCATTTCAAGAATATTTTAACAGTGTTGAACTAAGCTAAGCGACACTGAAAGATTGTGTTGAGTGTAGTGTGAATGTTGCAGACAGCACAGTGTGCAGCATACGAGCTGGGTGTGCCTCTGGAGTACGTCAGTGTGATGCCCACCAACACCCACACCAATCCAAACTCCAGTATTACTGGAGGCTCTACTGGGTCTGACGTCGCCAGCTACGTAAGTTCCGTGAATTGTCCAGTTTATCACTATCTGCGTACATTGCCAGTATTACAAAGTTACACCCTGTTATATTAACACTAGATGTCTGCCTACCTGCAATGCACATCATGTTACTGGCTTTCTTTTGTGCCGAACAGTGTTATATTACGTGTAAACTAAATACCTGTATACTTCGGAAAAGAAAAGCATTGTATTTGAATATTCATTTATGTATTTTTCTTGATGTAAAGTTTCGACACTCTAAACTCTTCATTGACGTAAGTGTTGTCCCAGGTGGTGGCCGAGGCTTGTAAGATGATCCGGGAGCGTCTTAACGCTGTTCAGGAGGCCATCGGAGAAGATGTGCCGTGGGAGGAACTGGTACTCACCGCCTTCAACCAGGGAGTCGACATCTCCCAGAGATACGTGTAAGGCCGCGACGAAAATGGTTTAGAGACCGACAAGTTTAAGAATGAGACACTTGTGCAATATTTTGGAACCTTTATCGAAGAAACGATTCGCCAGCCAGTGGCTTCATCAGTCCAATACAGAGAATTACGTTTCTTTAATAAGAGCCCAAATGTTGCACAAGTGTCTCAGTCTTCAACGTGTAACGTTGAATAAGAGTTATTCGGACAGCATGTAGAAATTAAAATTTCCTCTGTATCGTTTTGAAGCTGCATCAGAGCCACTGTATCAGAGCCACTGCATCAGAGCCACTGTATCAGAGCCACTGTATCAGAGCCACTGTATCAGAGCCACTGTATCAGAGCCACTGTATCAGAGCCACTGTATCAGAGCCACTGTATCAGAGCCACTGCATCAGAGCCACTGTATCAGAGCCACTGTATCAGAGCCACTGTATCAGAGCCACTGCATCAGAGCCACTGTATCAGAGCCACTGTATCAGAGCCACTGTATCAGAGCCACTGCATCAGAGCCACTGCATCAGAGCCACTGCATCAGAGCCACTGTATCAGAGCCACTGTATCAGAGCCACTGTATCAGAGCCACTGCATCAGAGCCACTGTATCAGAGCCACTGCATCAGAGCCACTGTATCAGAGCCACTGCATCAGAGCCACTGCATCAGAGCCACTGCCCCTGTATCCCTGCCCATCACTGTATCAGAGCCACTGCCCCTGTATCCCTGCCCATCACTGTATCAGAGCCACTGCATCAGAGCCACTGCATCAGAGCCACTGCCCCTGTATCCCTGCCCATCACTGTATCAGAGCCACTGCCCTGTATCACGCACTGCATCAAGCTGTATCACCCGAGAGCCACTGCCCCTGTATCCCTGCCCATCACTGCATCAGAGCCACTGCCCCTGTATCCCTGCCCATCACTGTATCAGAGCCACTGCCCCTGTATCCCTGCCCATCACTGTATCAGAGCCACTGCCCCTGTATCCCTGCCCATCACTGTATCAGAGCCACTGCCCCATGTATCCGCCCATCATGTATCAGAGCCACTGCCCCATGCTATCTGACCATCACTGATCAGAGCCACTGCCACTGTATCCCTGTCGCCTCACTGTATCAGAGCACTGCCCTGTATCCCTGGCCATTTCACATGTATCAGAGCCAGACGGCCCTGTATCCCTGCCCATCACTGTATCAGAGCCACTGCGCACGTATCAGAGCCACTGCATCAGAGCCACTGCCCACTGTATCATGCCCATCGCACTGTATCAGAGCCACTGCCCTGTATCCCTGCCACTACAACTGTAATCAGAGCCACTGCCCCTGTATCCTGCCCACCCAAACTGTATCAGAGCCACTGCCCCTGTAATCCCCTGGCCCATCACTGTATCAGAGCACTGCCCCTGTATCCCTGCCCATCACTGTATCAGAGCCACGCTGTCGCCTGTATCACCATGCTTCAATGCACTGTATCAGAGCCACTGCCCTGTATCCCAGCCATCACTGTATCAGAGCCACTGCCCCTGTATCCCTGCCCATCACTGTATCAGAGCCACTGCCCCTGTATCCCTGACCATCACTGATCAGAGCCACTGCCCCTGTATCCTGCCAATCACTGTATCAGAGCCACTGCCCCTGTATCCCTGCCCAACCTGTATCAGAGCCACTGCCCCTGTATCCCTGCCCATCACTGTATCAGAGCCACTGCCCCCTGTATCCTGCCCATCACTGTATCAGAGCCACTGCCCCTGTATCCCTGTCAACACTGATCAGAGCCACGCCCTGTATCAGAGCACTGCCTCAGAGCACTGTATCAGAGCCACTGCCCCGTATCCCTGCCTCATACACTGTATCAGAGCCACGCCCTGTATCCGAGCCAACTGTATCAGAGCCACTGATCAGGCCACTGTATCAGAGCCACTGCACAAGCCCACTGCATCAGAGCCACTGCCCCTGTATCCTGCCATCACTGTATCAGAGCCACTGCCCCTGTATCCCTGCCCTCCACTGTATCAGAGCCACTGCATCAGAGCCCTGTATCAGAGCCACTGTACACCATCACTGTATCAGAGCCACTGCCCCTGTATCAATGCCCATCCTGTATCAGAGCCACTGCCCCTGTATCCCTGCATCAACACTGTATCAGAGCCACCTGTATCAGAGCCAACTGTATCAGAGCCACTGCCCCTGTATCCCTGCCCAATCACTGTATCAGAGCCACATGACCCTGTATCCCTGCACTCACTGTATCAGAGCCACTGCCCCTGTATCCCTGCCCATCACTGTATCAGAGCCACTGCCTGTATCCTGGCCTCACTGTATCAGAGCCACTGCCCTGTATCCCTGCCCATCACTGTATCAGAGCCACTGACCTGTATCCCTGCTCGAGTCACTGTATCAGAGCCACTGCCACAGTATCCACTGCCAACCACTGTATCAGAGCCACTGCCCCTGTATCCCTGCCATATCACTGTATCAGAGCCACTGCCCCTGTATCCCTGCCCATCACTGTATCAGAGCCACTGCATCAGAGCCACTGTATCAGAGCCACTGCCCCTGTATCCCTGCCCATCACTGTATCAACAAGAGCCACTGCCACCTGTATCCCATGCCCATCACTGTATCAGAGCCACTGCCCCTGTATCCCTGCCCATCACTGTATCAGAGCCACTGCCCTGTATCCCTGCCCATCACTGTATCAGAGCCACTGCCCTGTATCCCTGCCCATCACTGTATCAGAGCCACTGCCCCTGTATCCCTGCCCATCACTGTATCAGAGCCACTGCCCCTGTATCCCTGCCCATCACTGTATCAGAGCCACTGCCCCTGATCCTGCCCATCACTGACAGAGCCACTGCCCCTGTATCCCTGCCCATCACTGTATCAGAGCCACTGCCCCTGTATCCCTGCCCATCACTGTATCAGAGCCACTGCCCCTGTATCCCTGCCCATCACTGCATCAGAGCCACTGCCCCTGTATCCCTGCCCATCACTGTATCAGAGCCACTGCCCCTGTATCCCTGCCCATCACTGTATCAGAGCCACTGCCCCTGTATCCCTGCCCATCACTGTATCAGAGCCACTGCCCCTGTATCCCTGCCCATCATTGTATCAGAGCCACGGCCCTGTATCCCTGCCCATCACTGTATCAGACCCACTGCCCCTGTATCCCCGCCCATCACTGCATCAGAGCCACTGCCCCTGTATCCCTGCCCATCACTGTATCAGAGCCACTGCCTCTGTATCCCTGCCCATCACTGTATCAGAGCCACTGCCCCTGTATCCCTGCCCATCACTGTATCAGAGCCACTGCCCCTGTATCCCTGCCCATCACTGTATCAGAGCCACTGCATCAGAGCCACTGCATCAGAGCCACTGCCCCTGTATCCCTGCCCATCACTGTATCAGAGCCACTGCCCCTGTATCCCTGCCCATCACTGCATCAGAGCCACTGCCCCTGTATCCCTGCCCATCGTTGTATCAGAGCCACTGCCCCTGTATCCCTGCCCATCACTGCATCAGAGCCACTGCCCCTGTATCCCTGCCCATCACTGTATCAGAGCCACTGCCCCTGTATCCCTGCCCATCACTGTATCAGAGCCACTGCCCCTGTATCCCTGTCCATCACTGTATCAAAGCCACTACCCCTGTATCCCTGCCCATCACTGTATCAAAGCCACTGCCCCTGTATCCCTGCCCATCACTGTATCAGAGCCACTGCCCCTGTATCCCTGCCCATCACTGTATCAGAGCCACTGCCCCTGTATCCCTGCCCATCACTGTATCAAAGCCACTACCCCTGTATCCCTGCCCATCACTGTATCAGAGCCACTGCCCCTGTATCCCTGCCCATCACTGTATCAGAGCCACTGCCCCTGTATCCCTGCCCATCACTGTATCAGAGCCACTGCCCCTGTATCCCTGCCCATCACTGTATCAGAGCCACTGCGCCTGCATCATTCTTGTAATTTCTGCATCCCGAGGTTCAGACAGTGTTCTCTGCAAGCTATTTCAGTTTCGTTTTTCCGTTTATCAGCAGAGTGCTGTATCACAGCACAACTTGCTTCACCGTAATATTTTTTTGATGTAAATGATTTACGAAACTGACGAGTTGAAGAATGAGATACTTTGGGAACATTTGGGAATCTTTATTGAGGAAACGTTTCGCCACACAGTGGTTTCTTCTGTCCAGTACAAAGAAGAATAGTGAAGTACAGGAGTTTGAGGTAATCAGTCCCTTAGCCTGAAGTCGATGTAATCAGTCCATCAATCTTCATAAGAAACATCATATGAGCGAAGAAGGGGGTTATAACCCCAGTCTTGAACTCCAGGATGAAGGACTGATTCCTTTAAACTCCTTCTGATCTTTACTATTCTTCTTCGTATTGGACTGATGAAGTCACTGGCTGGTGAAGCGTTTCCTTAATAAAGATTCCCAGATATTGCACGAATGGCTCATTCTTCATCTGTTTCTCCTGTACCAATACTAAATCACCCACGTTTTCCTATCCACTTCAAGGAATGGGGTTGACGAGGTCAAAGGCTACAGTGTGTTTGGTGTAGCCTGCAGCGAGGTAGAGCTGGACGTGCTGACTGGCCAATACCTGGTAGGTATTACAGACCCCTGCAGGCCACACTGCAGGCCACACTGCAGGCCACACTGCAGGCCACACAGCAGGCCACACAGCAGGCCACACTTCAGTGTGGCCTGCAGCAGAGAGGAGTTAAATTCATTATATCTGCATTCAGTATATGCTTTTGACGGGCTCTTGATCTAAGGTATTCCAGGTACCCTTTCTTGAATCAAACCTGATTATTACTCATTCCCCAAGGGATATGTGACTCCTACGGGCGTACCGCTTCCCCAAGGTCATAATGACAAGAGTATGGCTTTTTATTTCTATTTAGAAGAGCACTGCTAATCGTGGTGATGAAACACAAGAGTTTGTAAAAATATGAAGCATGAAAAAACATGAAAAAAGGCAAATAAAAGAAGGAATGTGAGAGAAAGAATAGTAAACAGGGCGGAGGAAAGGGAAAGGAGGGAAGAAGAAGAATTGACATGACAAAGACGGGGGTATGAAGAAGTAGTTAAGGAGAAAACTAAACATCAAGAAGGAAAATAAAGGGAACAGGGAGGAATATTAGTAAAGAATGCAAAGACGGGGAAAGAATATAAATGAGCTTCATTTGACGTAAATAAAGATATTGAAAATTTATTAATGTTACTTGTGACGTTTTGAACATTTTTGTGTTTAAGTTTGTACAATGGTAGACGTAGAGAGGATGTGGCCACGGATGTTGACCTGTGCTCCTTCGCAGATCCTGCGGACGGACATCCTTGAGGACGTAGGACGCAGCTTGAGTCCCCTGGTGGACCTCGGGCAGGTTGAGGGAGCCTTCGTGATGGGTCAAGGGCTCTTTTTGACTGAGCATCCACTCTACGACGTCTCCACTGGCCAGAGACTCACCGACACCACCTGGGTAGGCTCCTACTGCATGCTCTGTCGGTGCATTAATATATTTGATTTGGTAGGCTATGCCAGTGGGTTGCTAGTTACGATATGAGTCGTGGGTTCTCCCCCTACCTGCCTTTTTCATGTACTAATACTGGTCCAAGTGGGTCCTAGATACTGGAATTGACCTCCGAATAGATCAAACACGAGCCTAATATCGAGTAAGACAAAAATAACAATTCCCAGTACTGTGGAAAATTACCGTGTATTATCAAGTAAGTGAAATCTGTTAACTGAAGCTGTGTGTTACTGTGCTGATAATTTATGCAGGGTCTATGCTGGCGGGTCACACAGTGATAATACTGTCAGTGACTTGTGGTACTGAGTATTGATAATTATAATCTCTCTAGGGGGCTACTAAGAGTAAGGAGACTCGAATAATCTAAGTGCTGGGCAAATTCTGAGAATTTCCATAGGTTCGGTTAGTAAGTGCTGAGTGGCTTTGTAAGCTGAGAGAGAGAGAGAGAGAGAGAGAGAGAGAGAGAGAGAGAGAGAGAGAGAGAGAGAGAGAGAGAGAGAGAGAGAGAGAGAGAGAGAGTGAGTCTAAGCTAGTAACTCAACACGACAATGAGTGGGTATTCAGTTACAGAAGGAAAACAAACTGGTCGTCCTCACGTGAGCAATGGCACTTCAAGTTATTAACACTGGATTATTAAAGATAATAACTCTTCATTCACAGAACTACAAACCTCCCATGGCACTCGACATACCGGTGGACCTCAGGGTCACGTTCCTCCACAATGCTCCGAATCCACTTGGCGTCCTCTCCTCCAAGGGTGAGACTTGAACATCTAATAAGTAACCTTCCATAACTCTGCCTTCCATTTACCAATTTTAACCTGAAAGATACCCATTTCTACTTATAATTTTGTTAACAGTGTCCGCATATTACATAATTATTTAAAAATATTCATGGTCAATTGTGTAACCTGGGTTAGAGCAAAAGACTAATTTTATTCTCAAATTTCATATGTTATTCATGACATTTTTTCCCTTCCACTCCTCCCGAACATTAATATTACTTTTCTTTGGGTGCCAATTATAGGATCACTCATTTATCCTGCGTTTATTTGCATCCCACAACTTTTCCCATGTTTTTCGACAGTGACTTCTGAACCTCCCTTGAGTCTGGCATACTCCCTGGTGATGGCCTTCCGCCAGGCGTTGAACAGTGCCAGGCAGGACGCAGGTACCACTGGCTGGTTCCAGATAGGTGAGCAAACTCGCAGCCAATCGTGTACAAGGAAGATATTATGTAAAAATACGATAAACCCAACAAGATACACAGTTTTATATATATTATATAATATATATATATTATTTTATATATTATAATATAATATATATATATATATATATATATATATATAAAATATATATGAACTTTGTATAGAAAGGGGTTTAGTTATAGGTAATACATATTTTAAGAAAAAGAGGATAAATAAGTATACACGATATGATGTAGGGCGAAATGACAGTAGTTTGTTGGATTATGATTGGTAGATAAAAGACTGTTGAGTAGACTTCAGGATGTAATGTTTATAGAGGGGCCACAGATATATCAGATCACTTTCTAGTTGTAGCTACACTGAGAGTAAAAGGTAGATGGGATACAAGGAGAATAGAAGCATCAGGGAAGAGAGAGGTGAAGGTTTATAAACTAAAAGAGGAGGCAGTTAGGGTAAATATAAACAGCTTTTGGAGGATAGATGGCTAATGAGAGCATAGGCAATGGGGTCGAAGAGGTTTGGGGTAGGTTTAAAAATGTAGTGTTAGAGTGTTCAGCAGAAGTTTGGGTTACAGGAAAGTGGGTGCAGGAGGGAAGAGGAGCGATTGGTGGAATGATGTTTGTAAAGAGATTTGTAAGGGAGAAAAAGTTAGCATATGAGAGTTTTTACAAAGTAGAAGTGATGCAAGGAGGGAAGAGTATATGGAGAAAAAGAGAGAAGTTAAGAGAGTGGTGAAGCAATGTAAAAAGAGAGCAAATGAGAGAGTGGGGAGATGTTATCAAGAAATTTTGTTGAAAATAAGAAAAAGTTTTGGAGTGAGATTAACAAGTTTTAAAAAAGCCCAGAGAACAAATGGATTTTTTCAGTTAAAAAAAAGGAGAGGAGAGTTATTAAATGGAGAGTTAAGGTATTGGGAAGATTTGGGAAAGGGAAAATTTTGAGGAATTGTTAAAAAGTTGATGAAGATAGGGAAGCTGTGATTTCGTGTATAGGGCAAGGAGGAATAACATCTTGTAGGAGTGAGGAAGAGCCAGTTGTGGTGTGGGGGAAGTTCGTGAGGCAGTAGGTAAATGAAAGGGGGTAAGGCAGCGGGATTGATGGGAAAAGATAGAAATGTTAAAAGCAGGTGGGGATATAGTTTTGGAGGGGTTGGTGCAATTATTTAATAAATGTATGGAAAGAGGGTAAAGGGACCTAGGGATGGCAGAGAGCATGCATAGTTCCTTTGTATAAAGGCAAAGGGGATAAAAGAGAGTGCAAAAATTATAGGGGGATAAGTCTGTTGAGTGTACCTGGTAAAATGTATGGTAGAGTTATAATTGAAAAAATTAAGAGTAAGACGGAGAATAGGATAGCAGATAACAAGGAGGCTTTAGGAAAGGTAGGGGGTGTGTGGACCAGGTGTTTTCAGTGAAACATTAAGTGAACAGTATTTTTGATAAGGCTAAAGAGGTCTTTGTGGCATTTATGGATTTGGAAAAGGCGTATGACAGGGTGGATAGGGGGGCAATGTGGCAGATGTTGCAAGTGTATGGTGTAGGAGGTAGGTTACTGAAAGCAGTGAAGAGTTTTTACGAGGATAGTGAGGCTCAAGTTAGAGTATGTAGGAAAGAGGGAAATTTTTTCCCAGTAAAAGTAGGCCTTAGACAAGGATGTGTGATGTCACCGTGGTTGTTTAATATATTTATAGATGGGGTTGTAAGAGAAGTAAATGCGAGGGTCTTGGCAAGAGGCGTGGAGTTAAAAGATAAAGAATCACACACAAAGTGGGAGTTGTCACAGCTGCTCTTTGCTGATGACACTGTGCTCTTGGGAGATTCTGAAGAGAAGTTGCAGAGATTGGTGGATGAATTTGGTAGGGTGTGCAAAAGAAGAAAATTAAAGGTGAATACAGGAAAGAGTAAGGTTATGAGGATAACAAAAAGATTAGGTGATGAAAGATTGAATATCAGATTGGAGGGAGAGAGTATGGAGGAGGTGAACGTATTCAGATATTTGGGAGTGGACGTGTCAGCGGATGGGTCTATGAAAGATGAGGTGAATCATAGAATTGATGAGGGAAAAAGAGTGAGTGGTGCACTTAGGAGTCTGTGGAGACAAAGAACTTTGTCCTTGGAGGCAAAGAGGGGAATGTATGAGAGTATAGTTTTACCAACGCTCTTATATGGGTGTGAAGCGTGGGTGATGAATGTTGCAGCGAGGAGGAGGCTGGAGGCAGTGGAGATGTCATGTCTGAGGGCAATGTGTGGTGTGAATATAATGCAGAGAATTCGTAGTTTGGAAGTTAGGAGGAGGTGCGGGATTACCAAAACTGTTGTCCAGAGGGCTGAGGAAGGGTTGTTGAGGTGGTTCGGACATGTAGAGAGAATGGAGCAAAACAGAATGACTTCAAGAGTGTATCAGTCTGTAGTGGAAGGAAGGCGGGGTAGGGGTCGGCCTAGGAAGGGTTGGAGGGAGGGGGTAAAGGAGGTTTTGTGTGCGAGGGGCTTGGACTTCCAGCAGGCATGCGTGAGCGTGTTTGATAGGAGTGAATGGAGACAAATGGTTTTTAATACTTGACGTGCTGTTGGAGTGTGAGCAAAGTAACATTTATGAAGGGATTCAGGGAAACCGGCAGGCCGGACTTGAGTCCTGGAGATGGGAAGTACAGTGCCTGCACTCTGAAGGAGGGGTGTTAATGTTGCAGTTTAAAAACTGTAGTGTAAAGCACCCTTCTGGCAAGACAGTGATGGAGTGAGTGATGGTGGAAGTTTTTCTTTTTCGGGCCACCCTGCCTTGGTGGGAATCGGCCGGTGTGATAATAAAAAAAAAAAAAAAAAATATAAAATCGAGAGCGAGCGATAAAAAAAAGGAAAATAACCACAGGGGGAGTTGAATGATAGCTCTAGGCATTTTATGTTGCAATCAACACATCATCAAGAGCTCGCAATATTGCAGAACAAGATACATAAGGGATGAAAATCCCTTCGCACTCTCGTGCATCCTCAGGAGCTATTATACTGAATTCTTAAATACCCTTTACGACAATACCATCAATTACAATAAGAGATTTTTCTGTGTTCTCATAATATTTTCGCGACTCTTACAGATGCCCCATTGACTGTTGAGAAACTGGAGGGACTGTGCCTGGTGGACCCCAGTCGACTCACCCTTCAGTAACAAGACTGACGAATCCCAGAGACCAGAGTGCAACACTGTGTTACAACCTTCAACACTTTACATATCTCACTCATAAGTCTTAAACACGTAATACATCGAGGCCTGTGAAGATGATCTGGTCGCTGGATTTAATTCCTGAATTATCCACAAGGGTTTAGCGCCTCTCTAAAATAATAATAATAATAATCCTTGATTGCAAATATTTAAATTAATAGTTTACTTATGATTTTGATTTGATTATGATAATTAAAAAATATTTAAGGTTGCCAACAGAAATATAATCAGAATGTAATCACTAGTAAATAATTAATATAATACTAATAAGAGTAATATGATTATATATATATATATATATATATATATATATATATATATATATATATATATATATATATATATATATATATATATATATATATATATATAATATATATCTTAGAAATATATAAATATATGTATTTTGAGAGGGTAATCTGAGGGAGATGTCAGCACACTGGGTCCTTGACTTAGAGTTATGGGAGAGATAGGTTACGTGGAGTGTCTCTCCACCATCCTTCTGTCGATTTATGTGTATTTTGGGCATGGTATTGATTTGGCTGAGATTTGGAAATACAGTTTAAAGTCTGTTTTTTTTTGGGGGGGAAAAAAAAACTTTGAATTTCCAAGTTAATTAAAATATATTTGATTCCAGTATGATAAAAAAAAATTGGGGCATTTATTTGAAGTATTTAACTATGATTACATTGATTATTAAATGGGAAGAATAAAGATAATTCTCAAACTGAATGGAAATGTGTTTTTCGTTTTTTTTTATTTTTAATCCTTAAGAATTGTCTTTGTCTTAAACTCAAGACAACTGTTGTACTGTGTAGTAATATATATATGCTTCAAAATAGCACATTAAAAATTATTTAAAAGCTTGAGTAAGCTTAATTTTCCTAGACTGAAGTGAGTGTAAAACAAACATTAATATATATATTATATATATATATATATATTAATATTTTATATATATATATATATATATATATATATATATATATATATATATATATATATATATGTCGTGCCGATATGTAAAACTGGTCAATTAGCAAGAACTCATTTAAAATTAAGTCCTTTCTAAAATTTTCTCTTATACGTTTAAGGATATATTTTTTTCATTAATGTTGATGTAAAAAATTATAATTTTGCGCCAAAAGGAACTTAGAAAACTTACCTAACCTTATTATAACAAGAGCAAAATTTTTTAGCCTAACTCAGCTAAATATATTTTAGATTTGTTTACAATAATTTAATACTAAACAAACACAGTGAAATATATTTTTTTCGTTAGGTTCAGAATGATTTTGGCGAAATTATTGCATACACAAATTTTCACTTGTCCTATATGGCAAGATGAGCGTTGCTATTTAAGCCAAGATCGCAAGTTCTGCCTATTCGGCACGACATATTATATATATATATATATATATATATATATATATATAATATATATATATATATATATATATATATATATATATATATATTTTATATATATATATGCAAAACAACCAATATGAAAAAATAGTGAAATTCCAACCGCTTTCGTGACTTCTCACATCATCAAAGTTCCTTGATAATGTGAGAAGTCACGAAAGTTCTTGGAATTTCACTATTCTTTCAAAGTGGTTGTTTTGCATATTTTAAAATCACCTGTTTACTGTGATCTTATTGCATATATATATATATATATATATATATATATATATATATATATATATATATATATTATATATATATATATATATATATATATATATATTATCCTCATATCCGACATAGACAAGGATGTCAGCCACAGCACCGTGTCTTCCTTTGCAGATGACACCCGAATCTGCATGACAGTGTCTTCCATTGCAGACACTGCAAGGCTCCAGGCGGACATCAACCAAATCTTTCAGTGGGCTGCAGAAAACAATATGAAGTTCAACGATGAGAAATTTCAATTACTCAGATATGGTAAACATGAGGAAATTAAATCTTCATCAGAGTACAAAACAAATTCTGGTCACAAAATAGAGCGAAACACCAACGTCAAAGACCTGGGAGTGATTATGTCGGAGGATCTCACCTTCAAGGACCATAACATTGTATCAATCGCATCTGCTAGAAAAATGACAGGATGGATAATGAGAACCTTCAAAACTAGGGAGGCCAAGCCCATGATGACACTCTTCAGGTCACTTGTTCTATCTAGGCTGGAATATTGCTGCACTCTAACAGCACCTTTCAAGGCAGGTGAAATTGCCGACCTAGAAAATGTACAGAGAACTTTCACGGCGCGCATAACGGAGATAAAACACCTCAATTACTGGGAGCGCTTGAGGTTTCTAAACCTGTATTCCCTGGAACGCAGGAGGGAGAGATACATGATTATATACACCTGGAAAATCCTAGAGGGACTAGTACCGAACTTGCACACGAAAATCACTCACTACGAAAGCAAAAGACTTGGCAGACGATGCACCATCCCCCAATGAAAAGCAGGGGTGTCACTAGCACGTTAAGAGACCATACAGTAAGTGTCAGGGGCCCGAGACTGTTCAACTGCCTCCCAGCACACATAAGGGGGATTACCAACAGACCCCTGGCAGTCTTCAAGCTGGCACTGGACAAGCACCTAAAGTCAGTTCCTGATCAGCCGGGCTGTGGCTCGTACGTTGGTTTGCGTGCAGCCAGCAGCAACAGCCTGGTTGATCAGGCGCTGATCCACCAGGAGGCCTGGTCACAGACCGGGCCGCGGGGGCGTTGACCCCCGAAACTCTCTCCAGGTATATATATATATATATATATATATATATATATATATATATATATATATATATATATATATATATATATATATATATATATATATATATATATATATATGCAAAACAGCCACTCTGAAAGAATAGAGAAATTCCAAGCGCTTTCGTGACTACTCACATTATCAAGGAACTATGAAAGTAAAGCATCCAAGGAAGCTATATAAGGGGTCTGGCCAGCACCTCACTATCAGATCCCACAACGGTTAAACACCTGACGCGCGCCGACCCAACTTGGATAGGTCCTTTGCACAACTCACCCACAAACTATTCTACCCAAGAAAATTTAAAAATTATTTGACCAGTGTATTATTAAATTCTTCCCAAATTCTATTAATTATAAATGAATCTAATTTATATAAACCAAAGGAAATATTCATATTATTGTCAAAACTGCTTTTTATGAAACAAGATTCAATTATATTCCTGTCGACCATGGACTTGCTTGATACTACTTTCTCAACTTTTTGAAAATAAATTGGATGGTTAAAATCTCTTACATGAATAAATAGAGCATTGGAATCTTGTCCAGTTCTAATGCTATATTTATGTTGTTTTAATCTTAGTTCGAGATTTTATATTATATATATATATATATATATATTATATATATATATATATATATATATATATATATATATATATATATATTATATATATATATATATATATATATATATATATATATATATGCAAAACAACCACTCTGAAAGAATAGAGAAATTCCAAGCGCTTTCGTGACTACTCACATTATCATTATCATAGTTCCTTGATAATGTGAGTAGTCACGAAAGCGCTTGGAAATTCTCTATTCTTTCAGAGTGGTTGTTTTGCATATTCTGAAATCACCTGTTTACTGTGATCTTTGCATATATATATATATATATATATATATTATATATATATATATATATATATATATATATATATATATATATATATATATATATATATATATATATATATTATATATATATATATATATATATATGTATATGTATATATGTCGTGCCGAATATGTAAAACTGGTCAATTAGCAAGAACTCATTTAAAATTAAGTCCTTTCTGAAATTTTCTCTTATACGTTTGAAGATATATTTTTTTCATAAATGTTAATGTAAAAATTTTTAATTTTGCACCAAAAGAATCTTAGAAAACTTACCTAACCTTATTATAACAAGAGCAATTTATTTTAGCCTAACCCAACTAAATATATTTTAAATACGTTTACAATAATTTAGTACTAAACAAACACAATCAAATATATTTTTTTCGTTAGGTTCAGAATAATTTTGGCGAAATTATTGCATACACAAATTTTCACTTGTCCTATATGGCAAGATGAACGTTGCTATTTAAGCCAAGATCGCAAGTTCTGCCTATTCGGCACGACATATACATATATATATATATATATATATATATATATATATATATATATATATATATATATATATATATATATATATATATATATATATATATATATATATTATACAGATTAGTTCCATGATGATACATCAGTGTTGAGGTTACGTTACCTTAAACACTAGACAGGTTATTTGAGTACAAACAGTGAAATTAATTTAGCCAACAAACTTGCAGAATATACCATAGCAAATTAAACCTCAGTCAATAAATGCTATCACAGATTGACATAAAATATTTACCGACACTTGGGAATAAGGTTATATGTTATGGCTGGTGTCTGGCCGCTGTCTCTCGCCAATTATAACGGTACTAACAGAAATTTCAAGCTGCAAGTACCCCCATTTCGTGTGTCCAGTTCGTTAATTTTACTGGACAATTTGGGTCTTGCCGAATAAGACAAGCGAAAATTTGTGTATGCAATAATTTCGCAAAAATCATTCTGAGCCTTAGGAAAAAAATATATTTCATTGGACTTAATTTTAAATGAGTTCTGTTCTTGCTAATTGACCAATTTTACCTATTCGGCACGATATATATATACTATATATATATATTTTTTTTTTCAACAAGTCGGTCGTCCCTAGATGCTGTTTTCTTAAGTTAACTTTTTTTCCTTGGGCGAAACGTTGCCTTACTGAGCGAAAGGTTGCCTTACCTATCCTATGGGTACCCTACTGTTTGACATCTAACGTAAGGCACAAATTTACCTTCCGAAGTGCGGCCTCCAGGCCTACTCTAGCACGAGCCTTAAAACCTAAATCCTGTACTAATTCTGACACATCAACCTTGATCCCCTCCCATTTCTCCCCCCCCACCCCTTTCCCTTGCTCTGTATCGCCCCTACTGCTTTAGCGCTTCTCCGTGAATATAAATGATACCGGCTACTGTTTATTTCACGTGTTGTTTCTGGATCATAAATTCACTATTGGATAATTCCGAACTCAGGTTTTATAATTGGCATTGTTATTTGCTCTGTACAAACGCCTCTGCGGTCATTATTTATGGTAATAAAGGCAATGAGCATCATTATAGATTACGGATATATTATTGTATATTGTATATCATTATGCT